CTTTCCGGTAGTGCATCTGTGCCAATTTTCCATATCATTTCTTTTGGCTGCGCCATGCAGCATACGGGATCTTAGTTCCCCCACCCAGGGATCGAATCCATGCCCCCTGCAGTGGAAGCGCAGAGTTGTAACCACTGGACCGCCAGGGAATTCCTCTGGTTTTTAGGGAAGAATCCTTCCTTGTCCCTTTCCTTGCTTCTGGTGGTTGCTGGCAATCTCTGGCATTACTTGGCCTGTGAAAGCTCAACTGCAATCCCTGTTGCTGTCTCCACATGGCCCTCTTAAAAGGGCACCAGTCATTGGATTTAGGGCCCACCCCAACCTATTACAACCTCATCTTAATTTAACTAATTACATCTGCAAAGACCCTAGTTCCAAATAAGGTCACATTCTGAGGTTCTGGGTGGAAAATATTCAATCCCCTAAAATAAGTAAAACAGGGATTATTTTAATGTTTGGCTCTTATTGAAAGGAAATACACAAACAACCTCAACAGCCCAGAAATGCTGATGATAAATAATGGGGCATCTTTTTTTTTTTTTTGCCTGGCCGCAATGCATGCAGGATCTTCCCCGACCAGGGATCGAACCTGCACCCCCTGCAGTGGGAGCACAGAGCCTTAACCACTGGACCACCAGGGAAGTCCAGTAAAGGGCATTTTAATGTAGAATGGCTTAGGAATACGCTTGCTGCTTGGGCTGAATGTGCCCCGAGACAAGTGATCAACTAAGCTCATTCTAACTCTGCTGCCCTGAGCTCGTCATCAGGTGCTCAAGAATAATGTAGAATAACTCTTCAAGAATGCTCCCTGCTTTATTGTTTTTCACCAGCACATTGCCCTCAAATCGTTGGGAACAGTGTAAAGTAAGTGGCAACCTTCAACCCCCAGAGTGTTCCTCTATTAATGCTGAAACCATTCTTAGAATCAGTCTTAGAATGAACCTCTACTTTGGTTCAGGTCTTGATTTGGCCCCCAGAGCTGTACTACCTTTGGCAGGTCATGATTTCTCGAGGGCCTGACTTCATCTTCATTAAGATATGCCTCAGGTAGGGCAAAGTGGGCAATTCCTAGGTTCTCTCCTACCCCTGGGTTTCCCGACCTGACTCTTCCCCATTAGTTGCTGGTGGTTGATCCAGCTCTGGTCCAATCATGCCAAGCTCCAGGTGAAATATGGCAGACAGGTGAGTCACTCATCTTCCCAGGCCAATTACCAAACAGAACTGCTCTACTCCTGTTCAGCACATCCCAGTGCTCTCCATGGCTGCTCCCAGCCATGCTGCATGTTTTCCAACGTCCCGTACAGCCATCAGATGAGCGGTGGCCCAGAGAGGTACGCCAGCTTACTCAAAGATACTCAGCAAGTTAAAGGCAGAATGGAGACTAAACCTTCAGGCCATGGTTTGTTCCCCCGCTGGATCCACAGAGCTTCCCTAGGGCCAAGCCAGTTAGCTATCCTCTGCCTGACTTAAGAATGGAGTTACTGGTTTAGAAGCCAAAGCTGAAGATAACATCACCAACTCTAGCTCATGGTTTGAAAACTACAATTCTTCTTTGGAAGTTAATGGGAAACCCAAAATAATGGAATCTGCCCTTCAGATATTCGCAGAGGACTTTGAAGTGGTGTCAAATAACTGTTAAGTGAAGATCAGGTAGTTAAAAAGCACCCCATGCAGAAGCAGGTCTCAAGGACAATTTACATTTATTTGTTGATGACTCTGACTAAACATACTTCAAACATAGCAGAAGTTAAAGAGTCTGTCAGGTGACGTCATCTGCCAACAGCTAAAGGTGGCCCGTGTAGAGTGACATGAGCTTCATCTTCAAGCTGAGGCCCTGAGTCTGGGCAAACAGCTGGTGGCTGGACCTGGTCCTTCTGGCCTGGACTGGGGCCTCCGAGGAACTACGCCTTGTTCTCATACTTGTGCTTGATGTGTTTCCATAGCTTCTGCATTTTAAAGACAAGAACCACAAACTAAGTTTTGCCTCTCACATTTTCTAACTCCTCCCACTGTCCTGGTCTCTAAAACAAACTTGAGAGAAACATGTACCACATCCTGACAGTTTGCAGTGGGCAAACTGGAAGCAGTACTAGGCTTGATGTACATTCCTAACATTTACAGAATGCTCTGATGCTCTCAATCAGTGTGTGAAGTAAGTGGGAAGGCATGATCTCACTTTACAGGAAACAGGTAGAGAGATTGAGGGGCCTACCCCCAGAGCACACAATTACTAAGGAACAGAGGCTGGAAAATGTCTCATTTCTTCAACTCCCAGGTATTACTCAAGAGGTCTTAAGTGCATGGTCCCCAAATACTTCACATTAAGCCATTTAAAAAATTTCCTCAGACCTATGATCCTTGGGTCAGGAACTAGCTGTATTCTCATTCCTAAAAGCAACAAAGATGGGTGGGTTATGACAACATCCTGAGATGCCTTCCCCACACATTGGAAACGGCCAGAGGAACTGCTTGAAGATGAACAGTAGCAGCACTTTCATAAGGGCAGAAAGTTGACCTGGCCACAGGCAGTACATCAGTGGACAGAGCCTGCCTGGGCTGTAGGGCCAGACTGCTTCAAGTTAAAAAGAGAGTGAGTGGTGGCACAGGCCTTATTTGTCCAAGACCTTCCCCAGTATGAGCCACAATTTAACGATAGAAAGCAGGCAAGGCATCCAGCATAGTGCCTGGCACACAGTGAGTCTAAAAAGTGTTGTTATGCTCTATCTTATGCTTCCACTTTCTCCTGAGGAATGTAACAAATGACATATTTTGAGAGTACCACCTACCAGGTACTGCGGCACCTTACCTGCATCTCATATAATCCTCACAATAATTTTCTGAGATAGTTACTATTATTATCATTTCTATTCCACAGATAAAATTGAAGCTCGGACAGGTTAAGAAACTCACCCACCTTAATGCCACAGTTATTAATTGATAAGGCCCAGTATTCCCATCTAGGGCTCTCTCATTTCATACCTACCCTACTCTTAACCATTATTAATACCACCGCTGACAGCATGGAAAGACTTTGTAACTGAAAAGTGCTATCTGAAAAGGCCAGCCACGTATCTAAAGAGTTGTCCTTTTCACGACCGTCGCCCGCTCAAATCTGCCCTTGAAACCTTCAGACGAGATACGGGGTCCCGGGTCCAGCCCTGACTTGCCTCTAACTCCCTGGTGATGTGGCCCTAACAAGTCCTTTGCTCTCATTAGGTTAGTCTTCGCTTCTGCAAATGGACAAGTGGGTGTATGGGGCGGAAGACAGCAATACTTAAAACCCCTGCAAAGTGGGATCTATTGACCCCGTTTAACGTTTTAGGATTCACACCGGGCGGAGCGGACAGACGGCTGGCTGTCTGCAGACAGAAGACACCCAGGGATCCCCCACTCCTCGTAAAGGTAGACTGAATCCCGCCCCACCCCCTCTCTCACTGTCACCCCTCAGAGGGGCCCAAGGTCAGGGACGGCCCAGGCCCTCACCCCTTCGTTGATGTGTTCGTAGATTGCGTCCGCGCCTTGATCGAAGGCGCGCTCGAAGAACAGGGCGCCCACGGCTATGGTGAGGGCAAAGGTAGAGGTCCTGCGGAACAGCAGGGAGTACAACCTCGCAGTCAACGTCGGGCCCGCCATGTTTGTCCGCTACCGAACTAGAGCCACCGCGCATGCACCGCGACCGAGCTATCTCTCCAAAGGTCCTCAACCTGTAACGCTTTATGGGATTTGTAGTTCTTCTGGATCTCAGCGCTCGTCGTTTTGAACTATGGAAGTAACTGATGGCTTGAGCGTGATTCAGATCTCCTAAAATCCAGATCACGGCAGCCCAAATAGTTGGTAAAATGTATTACCGAATTTTTCTCCTCAATCATTTTTTGCTGATTAAATATTTTAAACTACAACACCCAGAAGCCCTCGCGCTTCCTCCGCTTCCTCCTGCACGGTCTCAGCTTTGATTCGCAAAGGTTTCTGGGAAGGGTGGACCGATACCCAAGGAAGGACTACGAATCCCAGCAAGCAGTTCGTGGCGTGAGGGCGCAGGAGGAGGAGCTCAGAGCCGTTGGGCCCCGCGGAGTCAGGTACCTTCTTTGGCGGGACGTCGAGGGCGAGTGTCTTTACACCCACGGGAGGGCTTGGGCTGTTCCATCTAAGTCCGCGAGCCCCACGGCGGGCCACACTATTAAACGGAATGCGGAGTGGATAGGGGAGCGAGGCCTGGGTGCCCGGTCCTAGGCTTGTCCCCCGTCCTGTCTCCTCTGTCAGCCCTAAGTCCAGGGCTAGAGTTGGAGCCTGTGGCACAAGTCGGGTCCTGGGGACTGAATCCCTCTGCCCAGCCTCAGGGGAAGTGGCGATTCTGCCCATGCTTCATGTTACCCTCATCCCTGGGTTTCGCAGCTGACAATCCTGGCTTGGAAGGCAGGAGACCTAGATCCACTCATTCCTTCTTGGGAATAGAAATAGCAAGGACTTTGGAGGACTAGGGCCGTCCAGCGCGTGTTTTCTAAGTGCCTCTGGGCCTTGCGCTGGGGACCCAGCTGTGAACAAGTCCCTGCCTTCATGGAGCGCCCATTCTACTGTGTATGGGTAGATGGGAAGGTGCAGTAATGACAAGTAATGCTTTGAAGAGCTGAAGAAAGGTTGATTGGGGAGGGGGTGGTGGTGGTAATATTTTAGACAAGGTGGGCCCCAGGGTGACACTTAACCCTAGACCTGAGTGAATAGTAACCGTTCAAACAGGAAAACGTTGGTGTAAAGGCCTTGAGGCTGTTCTATCCTGGGGTGTTTGAGGGGGAAAAAAGTAGAGTGGACTATGAATTAGGCTCAGGTCAGCTCATTTCTGGCCTTGTAACCCGTGGTAAAAAGTCTTATTTTTTTCTAATTGCACTAGGAAGCCAATGAAGAGTTTTAAGCTGCGTTGTGACATGATCTAATTTACATTTTAATGTCATCATTTCTGGCTGCTCTGGAGAACAGACTGAAGAGGGGAAGTTGCTGTGGTGGGTCAATTGAGGCAGGGTGGTAATTTAGATTAGGGTGTGGATTAGAGTAGTGATCAGATTTGGGATGTAGTTTTGGAGGTGGGACAAACAGAACAAACTGACAGATGCATGTAAGGGCTTACAGGAAAGTGGACTCAAGAATGGCATCAAAGTTTTGACCTCAGCAACTTAAAATCAACAGGATGATCTTAAGTTCTGTTTGGCCACATTAAGTTTGAGCTGCCCCTTAGGCATCAAATGGAGAGGTCCAGAGGCTAATTGGGATTTGGATCTGGAGTTCAGAGGAGAGGCCTGAGCCAGAGATAAAAGTCATTGGCGTACGTGTGGCATTGAAAACCAGGGACTGGATTCGAGACCTGGATCTGCCTCTGACTTGTAAAAGCAACAGTAATGCCTTGTTTGGGGACTGGTAGGAAAAACGTGAAATGCTGTATATACACCATGTGGTTATTTTCTATTTGCAAAGCGTCCTGGTAGCCCTTTTGGGCAGGAAGTTGTGAAGCTTCTGGGAAAGAATACTTATATCTTGCTGACAACTTCCCAGATGAGAAGTTCAGAGGAGGGAGGAATTATTTTAGGTGAGATGGGTAGGGAAGACCACAGGGAGTTAAGGTGGGGCTTGTTTTATTTTTTTGCCTTTTTAGTTCATTCTCATTTTGGAGCAACAATTTTTAAAAAATCTAATTTTCTTTAGGCCATCGATTTCAACTTAGAAATTATTATTCTATACATAAATCTAGAAAAATTAGAAAAATGACCTTAACTTTCCCTTTGATTAATGTTTGAACTCAACTTGAACAAATTAATTCCTTTAAACATTCAGCCCTATCTTCAGCTCAGTTACATTCCCTTACACATTTAAGTCCACTTATACATTTAATATATTTGATTTTCTTTTTAAGTACTTCAGATATATAACCTAACAAGCATAATTTCCCCAGAATACTTAAACAGTTACTAGAAAATCTAATAAATTAACCTTATAAATGTAATAAATTTTAATACTTTTTAATACTTTTAACAAACTTAGTCAAATTCTGTTTTGTCAACTTGTTCTCAGCCGGGGGATTCAAAAAATACAGGCTCCATCTCTGACAAGAAATTAGGATATGGCAGGCACCCTTAGTAGCTTTTATAGCACCTCAGTGATTTTAATGTGCAGCCAGTGTTTCCAACCATTGCTAACCCCTCAACTTAAAATCACAAGTTTCATATCCATTACTGACAGATACTTTATCAATTACCTAACTACATATTTTAACTTTTATATTTTAAACTGGAATCACAGTGCTTTTCTGTTATATACTCAACATGTCAAATTCTTTTCAATGTGATACTTTTAAGCACTAGGTAGACACTGACTATTAATAAACTTAGGACAGGAACATTAGTACAATAATTGATTTAGTCTACTACCTCTGTTTTCAATTTTAAGCTTTCCTGGAGTGTGAAAGGATGCTTAGCCAGTAAGAAAACACTTTTATCCACTCTAACAAATTGTGCTTAGCATTCTCATCAAGTCGGGGTTACCATTTCAGCTTACTGAGGTGGTTCACAGTCCGACCAGTTTCTGACTGGGACACAGATTTGCGGGCTGTGTCTACCCAGAGTTACTGTCTTCAGCAAAGTCTGCCTTTGGGATGCAGGGGATGAAGAGGTCAATGAACAGTGGAAGCTCAGTTCTCCAGGCTTTTATTTCTTGGGGGTACCTACTGGGGGTGGCTAGAGTCCCTGGTTAAAATGCAAATTTCTGAGCCCCTCTCCAGATCTGCTGAGCCAGAATTCCTGAGGATCTGATTCAGGAGACTTCATTTTTAATAAGCTCCTCACCAGGAGCAATGGAAAATTTTGAGGAGTTGTTTTGAGAGGGTTGATCTGATGCTGCCAAGGGTGGGCTGAGCTAAGGAGGCTGGTCCAGATGTGAAGGGGTGAGACCTGACTTGGGCAGTGGTAACAGAGAGTCACATGGTATTTGGAGCCCAGACTTGGTGGTAGGGAGAGAAGGGAAAGGCAGAGGTGTTTATATGAGTCAGGGTATATGGTTCAAGAGCCTCTTTCAGACTATTTTTGCCTTTCCTATTTGGAAACTCTGGCCTCTTGGGACCTCTAACTATCTGATGAGAAACTGTCTCCATCCTGAAGCTCCTGGAGCCCAGATTTGGGTTCAGCTGACCTTCACTGGGCCAGGTCCACTTGGAATCAGGGCTTGTCCTATCAACCGTCAGCCTGGACTGAGGGAAATGTTTACGCTAGATCCCTTTCAACACCACCCCCGGCTGGTTCATCCAGGTGAACCGGGTCACTGGAACCATCCATGGCAGCCTCCTAAGGAAGAAGGAATGGGGTTTATCCCTGCCTGACAAATTTCCCACTTTTTTGAAGGGAATTTTTTGGGAAAATTTTAAAACTATACACGCCAAAAGTAGAAACTTAGAAAAACAGAAAAACACAAAATGAAAAAAAAAAAATCCCACACATCATAATTTTATTCTCTAGACATAACTACAGTAAATATTTTGTGTCTTCTCCAGTCTTTGTATGTGTGTCTGTGTGTATATGTGTGTGTTGAGGCAGAAAGTTCTTTCTCCTTAAAAAAGTGGTATCATGTTGTACATACTGTTGTGACAATGAGTCATGTTTCATTTACAATATGGGATGAACATTTTGTCCCTGTAGGGAATTGTTCCCTTTGACTGATCCTTCTTTAACTGAAGTATAGTTGATGTATTACTTTGACTTGATTTTTAATGGCACCATTGAATAGGTTGGCTCACACCCTACTCTTGCTTCTTGCCAGTTGTGGGCTCCCTCTACCCAAAGTTATTTTTAGGGTAAAATGAGGATGGTAGGCTTTGTGCATCATCATTGAACCCCTTTCCCCTCTCTACACAGGACCCTGAGTGGTCTGCCTGGCATGTGGTGAGCAATGGATACCTGTCAGCTCTTTTTTACTCTTGGACATTTGGAGTTTGGTTTCAGGACAAGCTACATTGCAGTGCTCACCTTGGTACCTAGATCTTTGAGATGATCTCTGATCATTTCCTTGGAGGAAGTCCCTGTTGGATGCAGGCGCCCCTCTTTGGGACCCCCGGCACAGAGCTTGTTACCTATGACTGTTACTGGGGGCATATCTGTCGGCCACCCATCCCCAGCACATACTCAGCTCACGTTCTCGTGAGAGCATGGACTCTGTGTCATGAAGCGTGAACCCCAGTCTGGCAGAGAGGAAGTGCTCAGTGTGTTTGCCTGGTGAATGAATGACTGAAAAGGGAACCATGGAATTTTAGGGTTGTGCATATGCAAGTGGGAGGGGGGCCCTCCTTTGACTTGACTCAGGAGAGTTTTGCGTTGTGGGGCACTTTGTACCTGTGGCCATCACAAATTATAAAGTGATTTAGTTTCTCCATTCATTTATTTCACTGTATTAGTTAGCTGTTGCTGCATAACAAATTACCCTAGAATTTAGTGACTTACCACAACAAACATTATCTGATACGGTTTCCGATGGTTGGGAATTTGGGAGTGGCGTAGCTGGGTGGTTCTGGCTCAGAGTCTCCCACAAGGTTGCTGTCAAGCTGTCAGCCAGGGCTGCCCTCCTCTGAAGGCTTGACTGGGGCTGGATGGTCTGCTTCCAAGCTCACTCACTTGGCTGTTAGCAGGAGGTCTCAGTTCCTTGCCATGTGGGCCTCCCTAC